CTGAAGGCAGGAAAAGGATGGAAAAGGAACAGTCAGAGAGAAAGGGAAAGGAATCTTACAAAACCAAAAAGGAATCAGAATAAATGAGAATGAATCGGAACGGGTGAAACATTTCCAAGCCAAATATTATATATCATAATATATCATATATTATCAAACGTTTTTTGAAAGACAACTGAAGAGATACTGATCAGATCTGATAAGCATTTGAGAACACCAAGGGCTCTATAAAATGAGATGGTCATGGTTGTCCAGCAACCCCACAGGATCTCAGAAGCAAGCATCAATGGTCAAACCATTTTATAGATATTGAAGAAAGGTACTATAAAGTGGTATCACTATGTTGGTGTATGAAAGTACCAGGCATCCAGATACAAAGCTGATGCACAAATCCATTTCATAGAACGTGGACTTTTCTGAATTTCTTGGCCAGGAACTGGTGCAGGAGGACCTGCTGCGGAAGTGCCGAACAGCATTGGTGACTGTCAAGGCCAGAGAGGGCATGACGAAGCAGAAGTCACAGGATATGTTCTGCCATATAATCCTATGATATCCCATGATATCCCATGGTATGCGAATGATGGCAATGTATGCCATGTGAAGGGAAGCAGTCAATACAAATCTATACAAATAGATTTGCCAGGGGGACAGTCAACGGCTACTATTTCGGCACCGCTGGAGAGTGACAGAATTGCTGGCAGTCCAGGCATGAAAGGGAGATAAAGGGAGAATATGGGAGAATATGCATGGGGATGCATGGGGATGTGTGGGGCATGGCGCAAGAAGAAGACGGAGCGGTCTATAAAATGATATGTTCAGGAGCATGTGAGCACGCTCTGGAAGCCTAAAGGGTAAAAAACAATGACCTTTTCATTTTATAGAGTTTAGATAGTTTAGAGCTTGGAGAAGCTAGAAGAGAATGGATGAGAATGGCGCTTATATGCGCTTATGACATTTGTTGAGGACATGAAACGTTTATACACGTATATACACGTTTCAATGATGTTGAATGGGCTGTGTTCACACGTTTTGCTTGCCAGGGGGGGCAGCCAGCCACAGAATCCAATGATGAGACACGCAAATTCAGCGGAGAAGGATTTGAGCAGGGATGATCAGGGATGTAGCAATCTAGTGAAACATAGTCAAACCATCGACCATCATCGACCGACACATATTGTTTTTTAGTTACTGTAACCGCATGTAACCGCACAGATTTGCGCCAGCATGCGCCAGCCATTTTTGACGTTTCTTTTGTGTTTCGTTGAAACGTATTTGCCAGGAGAACCGCTGGCGACAACATCAGAAGCGACATTGCAGCATGAGAATCCTGATGGCCCTGAAGGCCAGACATGATGCCGCAAGCATGCAAAGACGCGCAAAGAATATCAAAGAATTTGTTTTTGAATGTTTTTGATTGTTTTTGAAATGTTTTCGAACCTTTGTTGGTCCTCCTAGTTTCACGGCATTTGACAGCTACATCTTGGCTCTAGTTGGCTTGACTGCTGGCACAGCTTGTGTCGGGAACTTGGTCGCTTTCCCTGCCTATCTTCTGAAA